GGGGGCCTATGAACTGCTCTTCACACACGGAAGCTCCATCTTCCAACTCCATACCTTTTTAATGCTATCCCTATCTTGGAATCACTGGCTTTCTTCAAGACAGAGTTCAGGTGACACCTTCCTAAGAAGGTCTTTGCTGCTAGTGCCTTCCCATCTAAGGTTACCATGTATCTACTCTGTCCCTATCTTGCATATCCCTACATGTGTAGCCCATGAGAACAGGGTCCTTTGAGGGCAAAGTCTGCTCACTTTTGTCTCTGGATGCCCTGACCTTAGTGCCTAGCCCAGATTAAGTAAGTACTAAATGGATGTTTGTGGCCTGCTCCACTGCTTCGTACCTGATACCTCATTTGATTCTCCCAGTAGCTGGGAGAGGTGAGTACTAAAGTCTTCTCTATGTGTCACACCTGGAGATCACAGTGACCATACAGCCGAGGTCTCTAGGCCGACTCCCTTTTCTACACTCCCCCAACACTGACTTTCTCTACTCTCTAGCCACACCATGTATATGATGTACCTTGTGTTTCCAAACTTAAAATGACTTCAGATCAGCTGAGTTAAGAGACACTGGCTCAAGCCCTGGCTCCACAGTTCACTAGCTGTGCAGCCACAAGTTGAGGTACCTCTCTGGGCTCCTTCCTCATCTCTGAAATGGAGATGACAACCCTTGAATTCTCATCCTCCTCAGGTTGTGGTGAAGGAAATGCTTTATCCTCCTAAGCACTAGGGCAATGGTGGCTGGTGCTACTACACAGAGCAGTACACAAGATGAACTCAAAACAAGGATTGCCCAGGCTTGTTGGAGCCACCCTTGAAGAAAGGGGATAGAAGGGGAAGGGCACTAATCTGGAAGTCAGAAGATGCTCCCATTTCTGCTATACCTTTTGTGACCTTTCCTTCTCTGGGTCAAAATTTTCTCATCAGTACAATAAAATTCTAGTTCTAAATGCCATGATCCACTTTTCAAACCACATTTTGCTCCACTTTGCCAATTCCCTCAACTATCTTCCTGGAAAAGCTATTTTTTCCATGCCTTCAAATGATTAGAAACTTCCCATTTTTCCTCTGCCCACAAGGCTGTCTGTAGCAGGTCAGGTGTCCCTCAGGACGCCCTGCCAATCTGCGGCTCTGGACGCACTCATGAAAGGACGGGTGGAAGGTGTGTGGCTCCTTGGGCAGTCCAGCCCAGAGAAAGCTCCTTCCCTCAAAACACTTGCTAGAGAAAGGGGATTCAGACACTCCTCAAAGCACAGAGGAGCAGAAAAAATGTAACAAATGTAATTTCCAGAGGCCTGGGCTCTGCTACCAGCTAGCTGTGTAAGCATGGGCAAGTCCTATCTCCTCAAAGACCTTAGTTTTCCCATCTATAAAATCAGAAGGTTGGTTTAGATGATTTCTAAGTTTCTTTCCATGTCATCACAGTTCTAAGTTCCCTTTCAATACAAATATCCTTGTGTTCTATTGTCTCTTCCAGCTCTTTTCTAAGTTCCCGCCCAGTGAGCTCCTTTCTATTTCTGCCATTTATATCCTATAGTTTTTTCCAGCTCTGACAGTCTGTGTTTTATGTTCTAACATTGTGTTCTACATTCTAAGATTCCCTTCCAGTTCAACTGTTACAGGCCTGGAGTTCCCAAACCATTAATATCTTCCCACCCTTACCAGGCTTCTTCTGGGGCTAGAACCTCAGGCTTGGTGAAGAGATTGAGACACTGCTCCAGAGTAAAGTGGCCAGCCCTGGCTGCCTCACTGGCCGAGCCAGGGTCTTCCACACACTCAAGCTCTTTGGAGCCAACGAGCACAAACTCCTTCAACCGTTCATTGTTCTTCCACACCAAGGCCAGGCTGCAGTCATCACCCAGCTCCAGGGGGGCTTCACCTGTGGAGGGAGGGGTTTTGCATATACTTTCTTAGTTTCCTTATCTTCCCCAAGACCCACAGTCTCTGCCCCAGGAATCCAGGCCTTGTTTGCTCCCCATCTTCTTCCCAACCCCCAGGCCTATTTTGAAGCCTTAGGTACCTTTGTCTTCCAGCTTTTGTTCCTTGTTGGTGGCATCAATTTTGTTGATAAAAAATGGAGGTGGATGGGCACTCAGGACCTCAGCTGGGTGCTGGTAGCCTGGGACAGCAGCTGTCAAGAAATCATACATATCAGAAACCAGAATCCCCAGCCCAATGCTTCACCTCTGGGACCCCAGGATTCATTAGGACTCTGCCTCACTCCTTCCAACTTCCACTACAACTGAGTACAGGCTACTACCATGTTCTCTTAGCTAGTGTTTTTATCTCCACCCTTCAAACTCACTTGGAAAGGCTATCTGAATTACCTTTCTAATGCATTACTAACATCATCATGCCTGTCATCTATTCACTCAAAAACCATGAATGTCTCCCCACTGCTTTCTCAAGTATAAACTGCTGATCTTGGCATTGAAGTCCTTCCAGAATTTAGTTCCAACCTACCTATTCATACTTATACCATTCTCTCTTATTCTATGTTCCATCCAAACAAGGCTATACCTCAATCCTCATCCTACCCTTTCCCTTCTCAGGGCATTTTTTCATATTATCCCCATGTCTAAAACAGACTCTTTCCCTCTTTCCCCCATTTCTTCCTACCCACTGAAATTCATCTGCTTTTGGCTAGGCAATGGGGTTAAGTGATTTGCCCAGGGTCACACTGCTAGTAAGTGTTACATGTCTGAGGCTGGATTTGAACTCAGGTCCTCCTGAATCCAGGGTCAGTGCTCTATCCACTGCGCCACCCAGCTGCCCCTAACTTCTTCCTTTTGAGATGCAATCTGAGTGATGCCTCCCTCCCTGAGCTTACCCTAAGGTAGTTTCTATCTTTCATTATCAAGAAGATCCTTCTCTCAAATGAGGAAATCATTTCTCCTCTCCCATAGCCATGGAATTCAGTCCTTCTTACTCATGAGTCTCTTACCTTCAGGCCTGAGCAACCTCTCCCCAGCACATTCCTTAGAAAATCCCCCCTCACTGGGCATGTTGACTGTAGATTCTGAGAGGCCTGTGTCAAGATTGGGCACAGAACCCCGATCAGGGAGTGCCCGGTTCCTTGAGGCACCTGTGTCACCAAGCTCAGCCACTGTAGGGGACACTTGGGATTCTGGTGAAGGTCTTAAGTCCTGGTCCCCACCCCCAGCCTCCAAAGTGCTGGGCACAGGAGGTGTAGAGCTGCTTGGCACCTGGGGGCTCTGTTCTGGGGATACACGACCTAACTGGAAGGGTGGCTGGAACACGCTTACTGAGTACCTGAAGAGAGGGTGTGAGAAGAGAATTCATTAGTTCAAACAGCCTTGCTCAGATCCCCTACCCAATCCCTGCTAGGTTAGATGTACCCACCGAGCATAGCCCTCCAGTAGCTGGGCAAGGCGAGCATAGGTGAGGCGGGACTCAGGGACACTGATGAAGAAGGGGAAGCCAATATTTTCTGGGCGGCACAGGCCTTTGTGATCTGGCCAATGAGTTTTCTGACAAACCCTATGAAAAGAACAGGATAATTCTGGATGGCTCAGCCTCATTTAACCAGGGAGGGAAAAGGACAGCTCTCTTGGTGGGGCGGGGGTGGGTGGAGAAGGGCAATGAATGTGACTAATCCTACACATCTCTTGGGTGAATAACAGAAACAGAAGCCCTAGGGTCAGTGGGAAGTATCACCTCTGGGAACGCCTAGGGGGCAACTGTGTTCAGACAACCAAGGCCAGTGATGGAAGGGGGCTGGGTGAGGGCCAGGTGGGGGTAGAGGGCTGCCTCACTGGTTGCAGTAGCCAACACGGTAACAGCGGGTACAACGCTTCAATTTCTCGTCCTCAGACTGCTGTTTCTTCTGGCAGGCAGCACACTTGGCAATGGGGATGCTGGGCACCTGAGGGCGCTGGAGAAGGATACACAAGACCCTGTTCTCAGCCAGCCCCACTTGTGGATGCAAAGTCCCAATCTATCCTCTTTTCTTTTTTTTTTCAATTAAATTTTTAATATCCTCCCTTTCCTTCTTTCCCTATTAACTGGATAGTGGGCAAACCAACCTGCTGCACTTGAAGGACTACCACCCGCTCCTTGGCCAGCTCTGGGGATAGCACTTCAAAGCAAAGGAGCAGATCAGTGGGAGAGACGGTGTCCAGTGAGTGTGATGGCAGGAACACACGGTGAAATCGGTTCTTAATTACCTGGTTTAGAGCAAGGGCAAAAGCACAAAGGTTTCATTCAGCAACCCTACACCCTTTCCCCAAAGCTACCAATGTGGGTAAATCCAATGCAAGGCAAATCTCTGACTGCCCCTAGGAACATGGACAGGATGGAGCTGACTCAGGGATTCTAGGGACTTAAGAGCAAGGGAGTATAGTAGCGAGGAGGGAAGAAGGAAGACAGGGATCAAGGACAGAGAAAGGGAGGGAGACAGGAAAAAGCAAAGGAAGGGGAGGGGGGAAAGAGAGGGAGAGAGAAGACGGAGAGGGGAGATGGAGAGGAAGAGGAAAAGGAGGGAAAGGGAGAGGGAGGAGAGGGAAAAGAGAATAGGTAGCCTCAAAGAGAAGCAAGTTATCTGTTAGAAAGCTGGCTGCTAATTTCTCATTTAGTTTTTGTCCTTGGCTGCCTGGGCCTTTACCTACCAGTAATTGCTAAACCTTCATTCATCTCTAACCACCAACCCCAGGTTTTGGCCTTGGGGACAGACTTTTAACTCCTAAATACTTTTCTACCCTTTTCTGCCATTGCTTCTTTAACAGGACATCCCTAATTGGCATCCACTCCCTCTTTCCCTTCTACCCCATCACACTACACAAGTCACAATAGTATGTCTTTGCTAGTTTATTTACATGAGAAAAGAACAGATACAAATTTTGAAACGAAACACCAGGGAAAGACTAGTAGGAATGTATATGAAAGAAAACTATCCAGTTACCAATTTAAAGGTACAACCACAAACATAATCTCAGGGCTAAGGGACTTCAGAAACCATTTAAGTCAAAACTATACCTGAAGGTGAATTATTCCTATAATATTCCTAACAAATAAATATCCCGCCTCTACTTGAAGACATCTGGTGACAGGAAACTGCCCACTATTTCCAAGAGCAATTCACTCTACCTGTGAAAGAATTCTACCAAGTTTTTCCTTCTACCAAAATCTCTCTCCCAGAAACTCCTACCCATTGCTCCTACTCCTGCTTTCTAGAATGGAGCAGAATAAATCTCATCTGTTTTCTATACATCGGCCTTTCACAAACTTGACAACAATGATCACATGTAGTCCAAAACTTCTCTTCTCCAAATTAAACATAACAGTTCTGGGAGGTATAGTCTCCAATCCCTTTACTACCTTTACCTGGATGCCCTCTAGTTATCAATGTCCTTCCTGCTTTAAAGATCAAGTTAGGAAACTTAAGTTTCCAGACCTACCATGGTCCACGGGGCCATAACAGAAGAGAAGATTGTGTGATTAATGCTTTATTACTGTACAAATAAGAAAAAAATGAATGTTCTTTTCTTCTGAATCACTTTCACACAATATAGTCCATAGCAGCCAAAAGTCAACATTCTTGGGTTTGTCAGTCTACTCGGCTGGATTTTATGGGCACAGGAAGGTTGAGAATTATTCATTGCTACCTAGACCTTGTCAATCAAAAGTCAATATAATGGGGTGAACAAACTTTTTACCAATTGGAAGCCATAGGATCACAGAATCCTTAAAATATCAAGTCTGAAGGTCCCTTGGAGATCATTTAGTCCAACTTTCTCACTTTACAAGGGAGAAAACAAAGACCTAACGAAGGGAAATAACTTGCCTAAGGTTACAAAAATACTTAAGAAGTAGCATTGAGATTTGAAATAAGGTCCCTCTGACTACAAAGCCAGGGCATTTTCTCCTATATGGTCTGAGAATTACTCTGATACTAGATCTACTGGCATAGATGGGGTGGCAATGAAAGGGATCCGAATGGAGGGCTTGGTAAGCCCAAACAATTAAGAGCAGTCATAGTAGGCACTGCAGATAATGATAGGAACAGAGTGTCTCTGCTCTATGTCAAAGGACACAAAGCATGGAGAAGCTGAAACACATTATCACTAGGACATGGAAATTCTTAAGCCAAATCCAGAAAAAGCGGTCCCCAAGAGAGTATATGACCTGAGAAAAAGAAACCTGCCATTTTTGGTGGAGTCTTTCATGTGACAAACTAGTTCAGCTTTGGTAAAAAGTCAGCAGAGATCCCAAAGATCTGCCATAGACTCAGACCCTTCCTGGAAATCTGCAGGGGTACCTGGATATCTGGGCTACTGCATTCAGACAGCTGATAATAGTGTCCTCAAGTCTTTCTCAGTTTCTGCATTTTTTCTGGATGACCAAGACACAGTATTCCCTAAAAGCAGCAACCACTGCTCTGCATCTGAAACACTGTGTTCTTGTGGTAAGACGTTTGGGATTTGTAGTTCACAGAATTCAGCTTTGAATACTAGCTCAGAAACTACCCTTGTGGCCCTAATTAGGGAAGGATCAGTAAGAGGAAGCCCCTTCTCTCTGTGCTTCCATTCCATCTACAATAAAATAAGGGAGTTGGACTGAATGATCTCTAGATTTCTTTTGCAGTTCTAAATCCTAGCAATGTCAGGGACTTCAATGATCGAGACATTTCCTGGAGTTCTCTGACAAAAAGAGAGCTGTTAATAAATTCTTGGTTTGCATTAGTGATAACTTCATCCTTCAAAAGTTGAAGGAACCGGGGGCGAAGCCAAGACGGCAGAGTGAAAGCAGTGACTTGCTTGAGCTCTCCCCCAAACCCCTCCAAATACCTGTTAAAAAAATGGCTCTAAACAAATTCTAAAGCAGCAGAACCCAAAAAAAGACAGAGTGAAACAAATTTCCAGCCCATGACAACCTGGATGGTTGATCAGAAAGGTATAGCACGCTGGGCCGGGAGAGGTGTGTAGTTAGGCATGGGCACGTAGGTCTCAGAGAACATGGAGCAGGCCTCAGAAGACTGAATCACAGGCAGTTGTGGCGGTTTCCAGACCTTTCAACCCACGAACGCCAAAGACAACTTAGAAGGTCAGTGGGAAAAGCCTGTTTCTGCGGTGCGACAGAGAAGCTAGGTCCCAGCCCCAGTTCCTGAGCTCGGCCCTGGGGATACAGCTGCTTCCTGAGCTTATAGCCCCACAGACTGAGGGGTAATCGAGAGGCTGATCGGAGGGGGATTGTAGGGATCTCTCTGCTGGTGCAGGATTCTCTTGCTTTGCCCATGCTTGGATCTGGGTCACAGTTCTGGGTGGTGGTCCTAGGGTGAGAAAGAGCGCTGGCGTGGTGAAGCTTGTAGTGGTGGTGAAGAGGAAATCCTCCTCACAGTTCCAAGACAGAAAAAAGTGCTTGTGGTCACTCATAGACCACAGCACAGGCCAGGAAAGGAGTAAACACCTTGCCCCTTATCATACCACCTTGGAAGAACTGAAAATTTACAGGTCCCTAGAAATATCTCTGAAAACAGCTGTACAAACCCCCAAAGCTTGGGACAATACATTCTCCACATTGGAAACAGACCTCTATCTTAACAAAGAGTTTATAACCCAAGTAATTGGCTGGGATCATGAGCAAACCTTGCAAAAAGTGTCAGACCATAGAATTTTTTTTTTGGTAACAAAGAAGATCAACCCATACAACCAGAAGAAGACAACCAAGTCAAAGCTCCTATGTCCAAAGCCTCCAAGAAAAATATGAATTGGTCCCACGTCATAGAAGAGCTCAAAAAGGATTTTGAGAATTTGTGATAGAGAAGAAATCAGGGCACAGACTGACATGGACTATAGATTTTAGGAAAGCAGATTTCAAACAATTCAGGTAGGATCCTAGGACCTAAGCAGAATGGGATGCCTAAGAATTAAGTTCTGAAGACACAAAGGGAAACAATTTCCATAAGAAGGAAACACAGGATTTTTCTGAACAGATGGATCCCTGTGGATGCATAGGGAATTCTCTAAGCAACCTAGATCTGAAAAAGAAATATACCAAAAGTATATACAAGGGCAAGCAGCAAGAAAGGAATAGAAAAGTACATAATGGTCCTATGGAAAGAAATGGAGCTGAGGGAAGCTAAAGACACGAAAAAGAGGTTTTCTGACTATGTTTTGAGAAAATGGAAAATCAAAGAAAGAATAAGATCTTTACATGAGGGGGATGGGCCAATTATGCCTGACAGCAGAGAAAGGACAAGGATACTGAATTCTTAGTTTATTTTCTCTGATTTTGTTTTCTTTGCAAAACAGAACCCCCATTCTCTTGAGACGAGAGAAAAGAGATGAGCAGTAGAAAGCCAACCAAGGCAGTAGACAATAAGAGGGCACTAAGCTTCCCTCGAATAATCCCAGCCTCCTGGCCCAGGTGGACTACACTCCCAGGTCCTGAGAACAGAGGCAGATGTGACTATTGAGCTTCTCAGAGATCATGGGAATTGGCCAAGGTGTCAGAAGACTAGAAACGGGCCAATTTTCCAATTTTAAAAAAGGGCAAATTATAGATCAGGAAGCTTGTCTTCTATTCCTGGGAAAATTCTAGAATAGATCCTTAAAAAAAAATGGCTGGCAAATATCTAGAGAGAAGAGCAAGCAGTGATTATAAAAAGCCAGCCTGGCTCCATCAAGGACAAGTAATACTAGACTAACCTCATGTCCTTTTTAAACAATACTTAGATGAGGGGAAAAGTGTGGAAAGTTTGCCTGAATTTTAGTAAAGCTTTTGAAAAAATATCTCCCATTATTCTTGTAGAGAAGAATGATATATGGATGAAATGATAATACAATTAGATGGCTTTAGAACTGGTAGGATGGTCAAACTCAAAAAAGTAGTTGGTAGAGTTCAATGTCAATGTGGCAAGAGGTTTCATGCATGACTCAAGGATCAAACGTTTTATCAGTAGCCTGAATAAAGTCATAGATGTTATGCTCACCAAATCTGCAGATGGTACAAAGTTGGTAGCATACCAACTATACCATAGACAATACCATCAGGATCTCAAAAGGCCCTGGACTGGATAAAGCAGGAATTATTCACATTAGGTCAACAGACCCCTTAGGGATAGATTTCAGAGAGTCTTAGATAAGAAAAAAAAATTGCATCTTTATTTCCATTAACCTCTAAATGAAATTAATATTTCCTTCCATTATGAATGTATGCAACAAAAGGAAAAGGAGTCCATACGCTTCACCAGACGGCTAAGGCATGGTCCATGCCATAAAAATGTTAAGAACCCCGAGTGTAGAGCACTGGGCTGAATTTAATAAGATGAACTTTAGTAAGGATAGATGTGAAGCCTTACACCCAAGTATAAAAAAAAATCAAGTCCACAAATATAATACAGGGGATGCAGCAAGGGACAAAAATGATTCCTTGATGTCTTCAAGCAGAATCTGGACGACCACCGGTCAATTAAGTTATCATGAAGATTCCTTTCATGTATGGGGGATGGACAGTATGGCAGCTGAGATCCCTTCCAATCCTAAGCAAGCATCTATGATTCTGTGAATTGACTTTTATCCCCACCCTTCCCCTCCCACATCACTACTCCTCTAGTAATCAGTCCCATTAGAGGTGTTTTTCATTCTTTCTTTATACACACCAGAAGTCGTACAGTCCTGTCCCCTATCTTCTTGCTTGGGATCGTTGTTTATACTCACTAACCACGATTTTAACTAAAAACTGGGTTCAAACCCAGATTCTAAACATTAATTGTGTGACTATGGGCAAATCACCATCAAGAGGTCTCAGTTTTCTCATCTCTAAAGTGAGGATAATAATAGTGACATACCTCACAAAATTGCCGTGGAAATAAGAGTTTTAACTGTTGTTGTAGTTTGCGTCCTATTTTAGGAAGGTAAGAGATGCTCATGATGGAAATCCCAAATTGCTAACCTCAGAGCTCCTAGCCCCAAACTGAAATGGAAATACCCAAATATATTTCTCAAAGGGAGAAAAGAAATATCTTGGGAGTAGGGTAAGAGTGTTAACTTGGGAATGAGGATTTGTGGAGGAAAGATGGGGGTGGGGGTGGGGGAATTTCTTTAGGCCAAACCTCTGCTAGCCGAAGGCTCTCAGGCTTCACGTGAACACTTTGGGCCAGGGAATCAAGCACCTCCATAGCACTGGAGTTCTCTTTGCTGATGCTCACCAGGAACTACAAGGAAAGAATACTATAGTCAGGACTGTAAGGAGACAGAAGGCAGCATGGCTGGGGTAAGGGAAGAAGGCTGAAGACTCTGGGTCCCAGCAGAGAGGTACAGGGGCTGCTCACCTTGACAGGCTTCTTATGTGGCTCCTTGGCAAAGTAGTACACAGTGAGTACTTTCTGCTTCTGAGGCAGAGGGACAGGCAGGTACAGGAATGGGTCGAAAGTGATGGAGACCTGAAACCACCCAGCAAATACCACTGAATAAAGCAGCCCTCACCTTCTACACTAAGTCACAGAAGTTGCTGTGTGCTTGAGAGTGGGCATGTCTCCCCAGTCTCTCCTGCACACCCAATCTGCTCTTCCTAAATGGTGTTCCTTAACTCAGGAACCCAAGACTCAGAATCGATGGATTTAGAACAGTGAAGGAAATCAGGAGATCGTGTAAGTCAAACTCCCTTAGTTTACAGATGATAAAATGAAGCCCAGAAATGATAATCTTACTAGCTAACATTTATGTAGTGCTTACTATGTGGTAGGAACCATGCTAAGTGCTTTACAATTATTATCTCATTTGATTCTCACAACAGCCCTGGGACATAGATGCTATTATGATCCCCATGTTACAGATGAGGAAACTGAGGTAGACTGAGGTTAGCGCCTTATCCAGGATCACACAGCTCCTAAGTGTCTGAGGCCCGGCACTTAGTGTACTGTGGTGCTTCGTAGTGCCCAGAGAGGTGGGTTGCCTTTTCAAAGGTTATACACAGCTTGTACATGGGATCAGAATTCCGATAGCCTGCTCACAACCCACGACAGTGTTGACTCCCCTGTGGCCAGGCAATGGAGGCTCTGTCCTGTATGGGGCCACTTCAGCCCTTCCTATCTATCACCCTTTGCTCCAGCAGCCCTGCTTTCCTCATTCCCCTCCTCGCCTCACACATAGACTGATTTCTGCCTCCAAACCTCTTCTCCTGCTGTTCTTACCACTCAGATATAATATGGACGTTATATCCAGAACCCTGGACTTGGGAGTCTGAGGAGCAGCGCTTGAATTCAAACCATGTACTTACTACCCACACACTTAGACAAGACACTGGACCTCTAAGACCTCTAAGGCTATCTCTTCCCCTGTCAAATGAGGGGGTGGAACAAGATGACCTTCAAGGATTCTTTCAACTTTATATCCTAATAATGCCTTCCTCTCTCTGCTGAGTCAAAATACTACACATTATTTATGAATTCTTATCTGTTTCATCTTCTCTGTGAAAGTTTCACAGACTACTGAGCCATGGTGATCTCTCCAATCTCTTAGGATCACTGCACCTTAGATGTCAAATGACATCTCCTAACGGAGTTAACACCTGTCATGTTTTATTTTTTACTTTTTTTTTATTTTACTTTTTTAAAAAACACCTACAGAACTTTTAAAACTTTTTTTTTCAATCAATGAATGTTAAGTCTCTCCATCCCACCCCACAAAACCCTTTTGTCAAATATGCATAGTTAAGCAAAAATTCTTGTACTGGCTGTACTGAAAATGTACGTCTCATTCTGCATCTTGAGTCCATCACCTCTGAGAAGAGGTGAACACTTCCAATTTTACAAAGGAGGAAACTGAGATTTGCCCAAATTTGGACAGACAGGTCCTAAGTGAGAGTCCTTTGACTTCAAATCCAGGTTAGCTGAGTTTCTTTCTCCATCCCCATAGTGCAGGTGAGCACTGGGTTGGGAACAGAGCAGCCTAAAGTAAAATGCTTAAGTGGCAGACTTGACTCTGGTCAGACTGATCCCAATCTCCTACTCTAGGCTCCTTGGGGAACCCTGCCCACCTTGGAACACACAGGGCACACAAGCTTTGACTTGTACTGTCCGTGGAACAGATCCACAATGAATGAGTCGTTCCTCATTTTGTGCCGTTGCCAAGCCTCCTGAGCAACCACCTGGAAAGGGGCAGAGAGAAGAGGGTTCAACCACAGGGCCTCTCAAGGTCATTCCCCCCACCACATCCCTCAGCTCCCTATCCCCAAGCACACTCACCTCATCAGGACGTCCATCAGAGTCTACAGTCTCTGTGTAGGGTTTGTTCTGGATTCGGTTCAGGTCCTCATGCAACCCATCCAACAGGAAGGCCATGAACTCCTGAGCATCATGCTGAGCATAGCCAGTGAACTGGCTGGCCTTGCTCGCCACAATGGCCTATGAAAGGAAACACCAACTCCATTTCCACATTACTTTCAGGACGACAAAGCCCTCCACTATGAGGGAGCCAGTGCAAAGGTTATTATCCCCATTCACTTTATGGATAAGGAAACTAAGGCTCAGACAGGGGAAGTGACTTGTCTAGAGACAAAAAGCTAATAAGCTGCAGAGCCAGGATTCAGACCCAGTTCTCTTGATTCCAAGCCCAGCCTTCTTTGTCATGCATCATGTGCCTTAACATGAGACAGTAAGCATAATCTTACCACCAACATACAGGTATAAATTGAAGCCACATGGGAAAAGTCATGTAATACCTGTACTTTACATAGCCTCTGCCTGCCACACAATCAGTAACTGGGAGAGCACAGCCTCTCCTGTCGCTCTTTTGTGATCATCCATATGGTAACAGCATTCTCTTCCATGAGGTATATAAAAAGGGCAGGGGCAGACCACTGCGAGGTCAGAGAGATCAGGACATGGGGGTGCTCACCTTCAGCTTAGAGGGCTGAAAGGCATGGTGGGTGCCCTTCCACAGTGCTCGCAACAACACCGCAAAGCCAATGGCCAGTCGTCCCCCTGTGCCCAGAGGATTGCTGTAGTTTATCTCTGCCTCAAATGAGCGATCTAGAAGCACCAGGACAGAAGAATGAGAGGAGCAGTGTGAGGCAGAGCAAACAAGGCCTACCAGCCTCCACATCTCAGCCCTCTCCTTAGCTTGGCCTCACCATGGAAGTAGTCTCGAAGCTCTCGGGTATTAGATAGGGACTGGATGACACTATTCATGAAGCAGGTGTTGCCCAAGTTGACGAGGCCTGTGAAACCAGGCAAGCACACCTTCTTCTCTTCTTCCTCCTCCTCTTCCACACTCTCACTGCTCATGGGGCTGTGAGGCATGGGGGGGACCATGCAGGTGGGCTTTGGCTACGAAGGGTAAACAAACAGTGCAGTGAGCATGGAGGACCTCAAAGCTACACGGATGCCACCCGCCCACCCACCACCATCCAGTCCCCTACTCACTGATGTGAGGGGAGGCTCTGGCTTCAGGGCCACGTGCTCTGGGGGAGTGCGGGCTGCCACACTGTCCAGTCCTGATTCTTCAGTCCGGGCCTTTACCTTCTCCTTCTCCCCAACTCGAGCTTCTTCCTGGCTGGCCAGAGGGGAACCACCAGGTGGGGCTGCATCCAGGGGGGTTGGGCCTGTCGGCATGGCAACCTTTGCACCACCCACTGCACCTTAAAAAGGGGGAATGGGGGGCTGGTGGTTAGCAGCACATGGAGGGGAGGGGAGCAAGGTCTTTCACAAGAGCCACCAGGATCAGGAAGACCCTGTTCCCCAGCTGCCTGACACAAACAGCAGGGTTTACAACAGTTACAGGAGCTGATAAGGGGAGACAAGAGAAAGTAAGGGAAAAAAGATGGCAATTTAATGGGGGAGAGATAGTACAGAGGCAGACACAAGATCAGAGGAAGTCATGTGGGAAGGATGTCAGTACACAGAACTGGGATGGAGATATGGAGAAATCAGACTTGGAGATAAGGGACAAGGGCAACCTAAGGTGAGCACTTGAGGAGACATACAAGAAGAGCTGTGGGAGGGGCAGGGGAGGAGAAGAAAATAACACAATGGGAACTCTGGGGAAGACCAGGCACGAGGGGAGCTCGGGGTGCAGACCTCGTGTGGCAGGGGCCTCAAGACCTCCCCAGCGCTGACTCTGTCGTTTCCTGAGGCAGATGTCAATTCGTGAAGATGTGAAGTGATACACACACTGCTCTGGCTGAATCATGTTCCTGTTCCACAAACAAATGGTTGGGTCTGTAGATCTCCCCCCAGGTGCCCAGTCTCACCCAAGTACCAGGAAATACCAGTTGTAACATCGCTGTTCCCATGCCTCTTCCACCCTCTCAAAGGCCCTTTAATCCCTGGGGTAGAGACAAGAGTGAGGTCTGAAGTTGGAAGCTCCATCAAAATGCCAAATCAGGGCTCCTGGATGCATTGATCCTCAGTCCAGCCCACCCAGAAAAGACAGGGTGTCCGGGGTGGGTGAGACTATACCTGAGCTTCACCTGCCATCGGAAGATAGTATGTGGTCCACAGTCTGGATGCAGCCGCAGAAAGTTCACATCACTGGAAAGGCATCAAGATAAGGGGGGGGGGGGGTCTGTCTATATCCCTCTTATTTCCCTGTCACTGATTGCTTCCCTCAGCCACCTACACAGACCCACCTGGTCTGGAAAACAAGGGTGAAGTCTTGTTCACGAAACAGCACTCGAGAAGTCTTGCGGCAGATCTCCTTTACATACACATGCACAACCACTGAATCCGGACCCTTCTCATAGGAGTCATTCTTCATAAACGTCAGGTTCACCATGGGCTCTGGCTCTGCGCAGACCCCCATAATTATATTTGGCACAGATTTTATTTGCCCAACCACTATCACAATCACCACCAAATTCTACCCCTCTCCTCTCCAGGTCAAAATTAAGTTCCTGCTGGCTAAGTGTTACGACTGAGTCCCTACAAAAGTCAGGGTCACTATGAATACCACTCTTCCTCAAGCCCTGTATCAAGTCACCTGGGTCCACACACCCCCGAGCCAACCCCCAGGATGTGTCACCCATACCCTCAGCTGTAGTTTCCAAAGTTGCTGCCGCTGCCTCCTCCTTGTTCTGGTCCTCTTCTCTACCCTGGGGGAGGGCTGGGCAGGCCAACTCATTCTGGTGGGGTATCTTCTCCCCTTCCAGGGTATTCTCTAGAGAAGGGTCCTGATTTTCCTCTTGACTAGACTTTTCAGTATGATGAGCCATCAGGGACTGCTGCTGTGGCCCCCCAATAGATGCTTCAGGCTCTGTTGAAACAGGCTGTTCATGGGGAAAATGTGGATCAGCACTTAAAAGCCATCATGGACTTAACCCCAAAGCACTTCCCAGTGCAGGGGAAAGAGAGGTCAAAGATAAAGACCCACTTTCCTCCATCCTGTATCCCTCACCTGAACTGTGGATTCTGCTGAAGAGGGAGAACCATCACCTCGGGGACCTGGGGTACCCCTGGAGGCCTCCCCTTCAGTAACTCCCTGGAGGTGCACTGCCCGCTTGGCACTGGGCCCCGCCTGAGCTCCAGGGCCTGTTCCTATGCCTGCTTCACCGCGGCCCTGAGCTCGTTTCTGATTTCGTGGCTCTTGCTTCCCTCTTTGAGGCTCTGGGCTAGACCTGGGTTCCAGAAGACTGGGGGGCAGCTCTTGTCCATTTTCTTTGCAATGGGATCCAGGTCCTAAATCTTGGCTTATAGACTTCTTTTTCTGTAAAAGACACCTAAATATTAGATGCCTTTCCCTCAGAGTTTCCTGATACTTCATCCCACCCCTTCAGTCTTCCCCCAAGTAGCAGGTCTCCAGGCCCTAGGCTGAAAGGCTTACCAGAAGTGAGGGCCAGGTCCGAAGTGGAATCTTCTTATGCAATAGTAACTGCAGGACACCACCCTTTCGGGCCTGGACCTTGCTGCAGGAACTTTCAATCTCCTCATAGAAGATGCAGCTCCACTGCCGGCCATCTAAAGGGGACAAGCAATAGGAACTACTGACACTTCCAGATCTTCCCCTTTACCTTATTCAGTAGTTCCCAATCTTTGCTCCCCCTTAATTTCTCAGTTAAAAGCTGTTGGTAGTAAATGGCACAGGGAAAAGAAAAAGAGAAGAATGCAAACAGCCCTAAGTGGCCTGTCTTGGGAGTAAGACTTCATTCTATGTTTGTTATGGGGATACACACACTCACTCCTGGAAGCCATACCTGGTAACTGCACCACACAGTCTGTATCCGTGAAGGCCGCATCTATCTCTTCTATCCGCAAGGGCCCAGACCCCACATGCAGCTTTACAATCACTTCATCTGCATTTTGCTTCCAATCTAGTAGCAGTTCAGCTAGAGATAAGATCACAGAGGCTCCCATGGGTTTCCTGAAGCACCAGACAGAGCCTATTGCTATCCCAGATATTGCCTGCATCTGAGACAGGGAAAAGAACCCCATCCTCAATCCTTAAACAGCCTGTAAAACTCATATGTAGTATATTCACTCAGAGCAGTCCTTCACATCTATATCTTTGCATCTGGGCCCTAGCATATTCATGGAGTGCAGGTCAAGTGAGAAGATAAACTCCTCCTCCCTCAATTACTCACCTTCCTTGAATTCCTGCTCCTCTCTAAGGGTATATGTTTCCAACCCTGGAGCAGGCACTGAAAGCAAAGGCAAGGGCAGGGAGGTGAGGTCGGGAATGAAGTATACCTCCCATTTGTTGGCGGTGCAGGGGGGTGGAAGGCAGAGAAGGGGAAAAGAAACAAAGGCCTAGCTGAATGCCTGTTCTCCTTCCACAGGGACCCCTCTGCCTCTCACTGCTTCTGGGGCTACAGAGCCACTCAATCCTGAAACTTAACCCCTTAAAACCTACAACTCAGGATCAACTGACAACCTCTTTCCTCCTCCACTTCACTACAAGGTAGATGAATCATTAGTGGGAAGGGACTCTGGTACCAACTGTTCCCCTTTCTATAGGATTTGAAGGTTTACGTAAATTTTCCCCTGGTACAGCCCTAGTAGGAATGATGACTATTCCCATTTTACAGATGAGGAGGCTGAGGTTTAGAGAATAGTGAATAATCCAGGGTCAGACAGCTAAGATTTAAGCTCAATCTTTTGACTTTAAGTCTAGTACCCTTTCTACTATATCATGCCAGTTCTCTGTCCCATTGGAATGAAGCCAGGAGTTGGGATGGTTTTGAGGAATGAGAAGCCCATCCTATCACCAACCACTCACTTTGAGGATAACTCATAAATCAATAAATGGAGAAGGGCAAGAGGAAGACCACCTTAAACCCAACAGTTGCCCAGTTTCTGGGGCCCCTTCTTTGGGAGGCACAACAGAATTTCCCACATCTGGCTCCCACCTCTTTTGGGCTCCCCATCCTTGCTCTCCTGGTTCACACGATCCTTCTGTTTCTTCTTGTTGGTGGCATCCTCCAGCCCCTGGGGGCATCTTCGTTGGCCTGTAGCACTAGCCCCTCCGGACATCTTGAGCCGCTTGCTTGACACCCAGAATCCACCGGGGTCAGTGATGGAGTCTGGGTCAGGGGTTCGACGTTTTCTTCCTGGCCCAGCTATCTTGGCGACTCTCTGTGGCCAAATTCTCCAGTGAGGAACAAATGACCTAAGGAAAAATGGGCCCTAGTCACTCACTCACTGCTAAGTTCTAGGAGGTAGCTTTAATACCAACTTTGGTATTCTCTTGAGTCCAGCTCAGAACGTGCATAAAAAAGGCAAGTGTGGCAAGTGAACAAAGTGGCCCAGGGCACACATTCCTATGGGGCTGAGCTGGATATAGGGCTTTTGCACAGAGGTACAGGTGAATGATAAGGCAGCTGCAGGCCCCTTTGGCTGTGGCTCCCAAACTGGCCAGTGCCTTGGCTGTTTGATTAAGGTGAGGGCTCCAACTTCATCTGCTTCCCTTGCAGATATGAGGTAAGGAAACATTAGCTTCCAGTCCCTGCAATCCTGAGTCTAACCTGACCACAAGAGCTCTATGGTCTGTTACCCAGTCCTTCTTTCTTTGTCACAGCTTCACTCCCTAGTAAAGAGAGATTGCCACACAAAGGGAGGTCATACCCACATGGTATTCCTCCTACCAGTTTGGAGAACTCCTCAGGCTTTGGCCAGTACTCCACTCCTACCTTCATTGTTCCACATGCCCATGGAGGGGGATAAGGAATGGGGTATGGGGAGGGCAAGAAGGTCTCAGGTTTGTCCTGTTTCAATTTCACTCTGTTGCTTAGTCATCTAAAATACATGCCAACTTATCAGCAGGAGTGGGAGGCCCACTTTCTACTGCTAAGTAGTGGTTAGGCCTGGGTGCTATCTTGAAGCCCAGTGGAATCAATAGGGTAGGCTGAGGTAGAGACACAAACATGGTACTCCCTGTACCATTCTGCATGAGCTCAGGCTATAAATGTGCAAGTAAATGTCCTTGGACACTGAACATGAAACCCACTCTAAGCTCCAGAACACAGTTCCCATAACAAAGCAACACACCAGCACCAGGCCCACCTACCTCACCTCCCTCTGCAGCCAGTTCTAAGCCTGTTTCCCATAAAGGGTTTCTCAGGCTTCTGATGTGGGGGTGGGAGAGGACAAAAGAAAGGAGGGACCACAGCAAGCTACATGAGGTCTAGGAAGATAAGGCATAGAGCTGGAGGAATTAGCACCTTTTCCTTCCACAAACAGCAAGTTTACTCCCCTGCCCAACCCAACATCTCCAGGACTGTCCATAGCACTCATACTACGTAGAACAAGATGATCTTTGAGGTTCCTTCCAACTTCTTGAGATTCTAATATTTGGAGATCCTTTCTCTTTTTTTTCCTCTCCAAGGGTATCATCTAGTGCCCAATATATCACCTTTGGGCCCTCATGGTTCCTTCTCCCACTCCTACAAGCTTTGACAGCTCCATGAAGTCTTTTCAAATCACTCTCTGCTCTTCCCCATCAGAGAGCCCCTATCCTAAACCATTTCAGATGGCTAGAGAGGAACAGAATTGGGCAAGACCCTAGGGGTCTAAGCAACAAGGGGAAGCCTTCTAACTATACTTCCTCCTTAATCTACTCTAGTTTCCAATTATTAAAACTAAAGCCACTACTTGGCAGAGCTGGGGCACTTCTTTCACTTCTTTCTAACCCCTCAAACCATAACATAAAGGCTTATGAAAGGGGAAGGTCCCAGTTTCTGTGCCTATCAGTCAGCCTCTTTCTATACTGCCTCTTTTCAAGGCAGATGCACTATGGGAGAAGCTGCTGATCCAGAGATGCAAGGTATGGGAGAGGGGGTGGAGTCAAAAGGGAGGGTACTTATTACTACTGGTTTAACAACATGAGAAACGTTGGAACATGTGTTACCACCACCCTCTGCACTGACAGCTGACATTCTTCCCACTCCTGCACTACTCCTCATTAGCTTCATCTGCCTGGTTCATTCATCCATTCAACAAGCATTAACTAAGCACCTACTATGTGCCTCACATTGTGCTGGGCTCTGGGGATACAAATACAAAAATGAAACAGTCCCTACCCTTAATGTGCTTATTTTCTAATAGTTTTGGTTCTAACATCCCTGGCAGAAAGGGCCTGGAACCTATGATATGACTAGTGTACTGGCTATCCCCCATGACTGGATCGCTACTTCTTCACTTCCTTCAAAACCCACCTCAAATCCTACCTTCTGAAAGAGGCTTTTCCTCCTCTTCCATCAGTACCTTTCTTCAGAGACTACCCACTAACTATCAATGACCTATTCTTCCCTTCTATCAATGTTGCTCCAGACTCACCTTTTGCAAGTCTCCCCTGTTACCTAATTACAGTACTCCATACCGCTTTTCTTCCAAGTTTCACCAGACACTTAATCACAGGGTTGCCTCTTAAAATAGCTAGCTTTGTATAATTTTTTGTCATAGATCTGTGCCCATACTAATGTCACCTGTTGGATTTGTAGTACCTGAGAACTGTCCCCCATTTTCCAGATTCCTTCACCATGCCAGGATGGGGCTTTGCACACAAGAGAGAATATTCCACCTAGGATGCTGAGGAAAACTGTCTTTTCCTGAGAGGGCTTCCTGGCCATCCTAGGAGCTTGCCTGTGTGGGAATCCACACACCACTGCTACTAGCCCTGCTTTCCCTAACGATAAGGATAAAGTGAACACACACAGAGAAGGCAGAGAGGGAGCAGTTCAGAGCCTACCCCCCCAAACCTATCTTAAAAGAACCCTAGAGATTATCTGAAAGCAAGTCTCTCAAACTGGCATGGGGAGGGAGCCCGAGAGGCTGAGCACATCTTAGAGACGTGATCAGCACGGGGCCGAGGGAGGGGGGAATTCCCCCGGGCTGACCCTTCGGTCAGTTTCAGCCCCTGTCCTAGGGTTCTCCTCCCCTCCAGCATTCCCTTCGGGGGATCTCTGAGCTGAGGTCCGGGCCCTCTTCTTGGTGTGTTTTAGTGATTGTTACTAAGGGCCGTGGAGGGCCGGGCGGGCCCACACGACGGACGGACCTAGGCTCTCCAGCTGGAAGCCTTTCTGGGCCCTGACTTCGCCTACCAAGTGCGAAGAGTCTCTTCGGCTGGGAGTCTGCCTTCCCCTCCTCCTTCCTCCGGGACGGCCGGCTTTCCTTCCCACCGCCGGCAGAGAGAGCCGCCTCCTCACCGGCCCGGCCCAGGGCGAAGGAGGGGGCGGGGACCTCGGGGGAGGGGCTGGCCCCGCCCCCCCAGCTGGGGGACTGGGCTCCCGGCCTCCCGGGTCCCCGGGCCGGCTCCCCGTGACCTTGGGCCGGGCCAGAGCAGGCGGGCGGGCAGGCTGCGCGACGATACGCCGCGGGCGGCCCCGGCTACTCTGCCCCGGGCGGCAGGACCTCCCTCACTCCCTCACTCACCGAGGCCGCCGCCGCCGCCAGCCCTGCTCTCGGCTCTCCGGGCCCCTTGGCAACCCGTTCCCGGTTCCGGTTCCGGCGTCGGCGTCGGTTCCGGTTCCGGTCCGCCCGCTCCCTACGCCTCCCTCGTCCCGTCCCTCCCCCCCCCGCCCGGCGCCGCCGCGGCCGCAGCTTGTTTTGTTTCGACTCGAAGTTGCGGCGGCGGCGGCGGCGGAGGGAGGAGAGAGAGCGAGCTGGTGACGCACTTCCGGGAGAGGTGCGGAGGGGGCTGGGGGAGAGAGGGGAGGGCGAGGTCACGTGACCCGCGGCTACGGGGCGTTTCCCGAGCGGGCCTGTTGGTCACGTGGCCGTCAGGCCCCGGAGGCTGAGTGGACGACACTGAACTTCGCGCTTCTGGGAGGGCTTGGGCCAGTTTGTACTTCTGTCGCCCGGCAGGGCGGCAGGGCTTTTCGTCCTCGGCCTAGAGGGACGAGAGTGGGGCACTGCCTGGGAAGGAGTATGTATCAAGTCTCTGGCTCTCTGCGGGTGGGAATAAGCATTTTTGAAGGGCCTGCAGAAAGGCAGGTGGACACATATGTTGTGGGTGGAGCTGTCCTAACCATTCCGAGAAGACGATTTAGAAGTATGTGAGAATACACAGTAGTAAACACCTTAGTAATCTAGTGTTTGATAAACGCAAAAATCCAAGCCTTTGGGACAAGAATGCACAAGGTGAAAAAGTCTACTAGGAAAACTGGCAGAAACTATATATAGAAAACATAGACACCATATACCAAGATAAGACTGAAATGAGTATGTGGTTTAGACTTTAAGTGTGATACCATAAGCAAATCAGGAGAGCATGAAATAGTTTACCTGTTAGATCTACGGAGAGGGGAAGAATTTATGACCAAATGAGATAGCATTACAGGAAATGAAATGGGTTATTTTGTTCATATTAAGTTAAAAAAGGGGTTGCACAAACAAAACCAATGCAGCCAAGTTTAGAAGGAAAGCAGAAAGCTGAAGGAAATTTTTTTTTTACAGTATCTGATAAAGGACTCATTTCTCAAATATATAGAGAACTGGGTCAAATTTGTTAAGAATACAAGTCATTCCCCAGTGGTCTAAGGATATGAATAGGCAGTTACAGACAAAAAAAGAAAAATCAAAGCTATCTATAGTCATGTGAAAAAATGCTCTAAATGCAGATTGAAACAACTCTTGAGATACCACCTCACACCTAATATAACAGAATATATAACAGAAAAGGAAATAATATAACAGAAAAGGAAAATGATAAATGTTGGAGAAAATGTTTGGTGTGGGAAAATTGGGACACTAATGTTCTGTTGGTGGAATGGTTGAACTGATCCAACCATTCTGGAGGACTATTTGGTATTATGCCCAAAGACCTATGAATCTGTGTTTGACCCAGCAATTTCATTACTATGTCTATATCCCAAAGAGGGAAAGAAAAAGGACCTGCTTGTACAAGAATATAGCAACTTTTTTTGTGGTGGCAAAAAATTGGACACTGAGGGGATACCCATTAATTGGGGAATGGCTGAACCAGTTGTGGTATATGATTGTAATGGAATACTGTTGTGCCATAAGAAATTAGCTGGGTGGTTTCAGAAAAACCTGGAAAGACTTACATAAACCGATGAAAAGTGAAGTGAGGAGAACGTTGTACACAGTAACAGCAATATTGTATACAATGATCAACTGTGAATGACAGCTATTCTCAGCAACACAAAGATCCAAGAAGATTCCCAAGGATTCATGATGAAAAATGCTATCCACTTCCAGAACTGATTGAGAGTGAATGCAGATCCAGGCATACCATCTTTCACTTTTTTTGTGGGTTGGTTTGTGTGTTGGGTCTGTGTTTTCTTTCACAACATGACTAATATGGAAATAGGTTTTATATGACTGCACATGTATAATCTATATCAAAGTGCTCATTGTATCAGGGATCGGGGAAGGAGAGAGGGAGAGAACTTGGAATTCAAAAAAAAATTTTAAGAAAAGGTAAAAATAGTTTTTCCATGTAATTGGAAAAATATTATTAAAAAAAAGAAGTGTCTGAGACAAATCTAAGCTCAATTGTGCCTACCGTCCCACCCAGCCTGGCCAATCCAAGGTACTTCATTCATGTTTGGGAACTGATGATTGCTCCAGAGATCCCCCTTGCTTATCGTATACCCAGAGGATGTTAAACACAAAGAAAAGTCTCATGTAAACAAAATACTGACAGCAGCCCTTTCTGGGGTAGCAAAGAAGTAAGACTAAGTGAGGTGCCAAATACTTGGGGAAGGCTAAACAAATTATAATGAGGTAGCTAAGTGTTATAATGATTAGTGCACTGGCCCTGGAATCAGGAAGACTCATCCTTCCTAAGTTCAAATCTGTTTTCAAACACTTGCTAGCTGTGTGACTGACCCTGGGCAAGTCACTTAACACCATTGGCCTCAGTTTCCTCATCTATAAAATGAGCAGGAGAAGGAAATGGCAAACCACTCCAGTACCTTTGCCAAGAAAACACCAAAAATGAGGTCACCAAGCCAGACATGACTGAAAAAAACAACTGAACAACAATAAAAACAAATTCTAACTTGGGAATGGGACTGAATTTTAGGTGGAATAAGGTGGAGTAAGGTGGAGTAAGAGAAACTTGTATGGACTGAAGCAAAGTAAAGTAAGTGGAACCAGGAAAACAGTACAAACCACAAAAAGGTTAAGTGGAAAGAACCCCCAAATGGAGCCAAGAGCCCTGTGTGATTGTAATGATTGTCATGGCCTGGAAGAAGGGAAGGAGAAATGACTGGCCCTCCGTCCTTTCCCTGGAGTGGGGAGAAGCATGGGCACTGAACATGGCTTATCGGGCTTGAGTACTTTTTTTTTTTTTGGTTGGGCAATGCGGGTTAAGTGACTCGCCCAGGGTCACACAGCTAGTAAGTGTTATGTGTCTGAGGCCAGATTTGAACTCAGGTCCTCCTGAATCCATGGCTGGTGCTCTATCCATTGCGCCACCTAGCTGCCCCAGGCTTGAATACTTTTAACACTCAGTTGTTTTCCTTTAGAAAGTTGGGGAGTAGGGGAATGAACACATCCAGAACTGACTCCAATATGGAAACAAAAAGCATTAATGAAACGAGTTAAAAACAAAGAAATAGAGGTTGAATGGGCCCCACCCCTTCTTCCTCCTCACACTCTGAAAATCAGAAACATGCACAGGTCAACCTCACAAATTCAGATTTATCCAATGGCCCTGGAAGGTTTGAGAGACAGAGCTACAACATTCCTCACCCCGCTACCCAAACCCTAATTGTCCAGCTCCTTGAGCCCAACCCCAGTCAGGAGATGTGGATGCAGTGTTTCCATCCACCTGTGGGCTCCTGCTGGGGCAGCCGGGTGGAAGGGAAGGGAGAAGTCACTGACAGGTGTTGTAGATCTGAATCTGCTGGTTGATGGACTGAAGGACATCCTTCATCTTGGCCTCCAGGCCGTCCAACTGGGCTGCTTTGCCCTCCAGGGCCCGCTCATTCACTTCATATGTGCCCTCCAACTCTGAGGACAAACACACATTTAAACTCCCCTTTCCTGGTCCTGCCTGGCCTTTCCCATAACTCACTGGTCTCTTATTACTCACCCCATTGGTATCAGCCCCACCTTGCTCTGAAGGTCACATATCCCATAAAACAACAGCAGGACACAACCATTAGCAGGCCTTCCAGGACTAATTCCACTTATCTCTGGTCACCCCAAGTCTTTCTACAGTCTTCTCTACCCTTACATTTACAGCTTTGTCAAAGCAGATGTTTGTACTGACTATCTCCATGCTCCTTCAAGGGGGCTCTCTGAAAGTTGGGGCTGCATCTTCCCTGCTCCACCGCAACCCCTCCCCTTAGCCTCACCATGCAACCTCCGGAGTTTGTCTTGAGCATCCTGTAGCAGTCCCCGGGCCTCATCCCGTAGCCGCTCAGCCCTCTCCTTAGCCTGAAGGACACCCTGGGCCTTCCGATCAGCAAGATCCCTCACTGTCTGGTATCGGTCACCCAGCTGGCCCTTCAGCAGCTGCCCAGGAAGGGAGAGTGAGAATACCAGTGCTGTCAGAGACATATCCTACCACCCCACTCCAAGAACCTGCTATCGAAGCATACTATTTTTTTCTTTTTCTTTTTTTCTTCCTTGTGGTTTTTTCCTTTTGTTCTGATTCTTCTTTCACAACATAACTAATGTGGAAATATGTTTAATATGATTGTACTAGTCCATTTCAGACTGCATGCCATCTTGGGGCAGGGAGATGGGAGGGAGGGAGAAAAAACTTGAAACTCAAAATCTTATAAAAGCGAATGTTGAAAACTATCTTTACATGTAATTGGAAAAGATAAAATACTATTAAGTGGGGGAGAAAAGAACCTGCTGACGTCATCTGCCTCCAGTTATCCCCTCCTCTCAGCTCCATCCTCATGTTCCCCAGGGCTAGTCTCTACATCCAGGTAACCATGGCAATGCCTTACAGCCCACTTGTCCCTTATACCTTCTCAGCCTCTTGGGCCCGACCCTGGGCACTGTTAGCTGTCTCTTCAGCTCGTGTGGCTTCCAGGCTGTTCCCAGCCCTCTTTAACTTCAAAGCATCCAGCTGAGCATCCAGCCACTGGGTCCTCTCTGCTGCCATGCTCAGGTCCTGCTCTGCTTCAGTTGTCTTCTCCCTAACCTGCAGATGAACTATCAGGCCTCAGTACAGACTGCCTATCTGGCATTGCCAGGTAGTAGAACTCTGTTCCATCAGGCTACAGAACCAGGAGATTCCAGGGCTCACATATACCCATTCCTCTATTGAGTATTTTTTTTTCTGAGCTCACAGACCCAACTAGCCCCCATTTAGTCTTTCCGCCCCAAGTGTCTGTCCTTAATCCTCCATTCAACTGCTAAGGTGGTTTTCTTAAGGCATGCATCTGTCCATCCCTAAGACAATCAACTCCAATAGCTTGCTGTTACCTGTGGGATCAAATATAAACTTTTTTTGGGGGGGGGCATTTAAAGCTACTCACAACCTGGCCCCAACCTGCTTTTCCAGCCTTGTTATATATTTCTTCCCGCATAGCCAAACTAGCC